ACTACATATTTTCTGGTACTGTGTATCAAGTGATCTTTTCATACTACAAATACACCTCTTGAATGACGCTCCTTACTCCAATGCAAAAGGTACCCGAAGTCTATGTACAAATACTGCCATTTAGACTATTGATCGTTTCAAGGTCTAAATCAATCCAACACAATAAATATTCTTGGTGGAATTGATTTCTACCCTTCAACGTAACATGGTGGCCTGGAAATAAGTTGATATAGACTTACAAGTTGGTTATATAACTGGATACTTTATTGATACTGCAGATTGTTTGAATGGGTCCTTTGTGGGACAATTCTAAGGAGTAGACTGGTATATTACTAATTAGCAAACTATGCGGACACAAGTTGGTAAACTTTCAAAAATTATGAATTTGACGGTGCTTGTAAACTGGTATCCCTCAAGTTAAACCCGTTATACGGGGCAATATTTATTATTATCTAAACTTTAACACTGTATACGCTGAAAAGTAATATTTTCTTGTTCGTTTCATAACTAGCAAGATCGTCGATTGTTTTTAGTAGAGTTCGGTGACATTCCGTCTGTACCACACAGGGCTCGTAAGGTCTTGTAGATATTTTGCAATGTACCAACGTGGTGAAGCCTGTAAACTGGCCTCTCTCATGTTAAAAGTTTTCAATGTGAGAATTCATTTATATAACCCATGGTACATAAGGAATATGCTGTTACTTTTACGAATTGTGGATATGCGACCTGCTATGATATAGAGACCAGTCACTAACTCCTTAAATTTGTTAAATATTTACAAATGTGAGGCCTAGAAAGAAAAGAAAATGATGGCCGGGTAGAAACAGTACATTAGATGAGTAGCGTCACAATACCAAGATGAGTGAACCAGTTGGCTGACGGGTCGTGGACGGTTAACATGCCGGGCTGAATGAGTATTTGACCACATTTACATAATCTAGCGAACTCGAAGGCACTATCCATACGTTCTGGGCTAGTTAAAGCATACTAGGATCTCTAAACGTATAGAGGAAAGCTATCATAAATCTCAAGTACCTTTCACCTCAATGGACTCATAAAGGGTGTTTGATTACCAGTCCGTCTGGTCGGATTGTGCAGTACAAGTACATAACCAGTGTTCCCCTTAAGTTTACTGACAAACTACCTATCTAATAACTCGCATGAACCTCATGTAAGAAAAAAAGAAAGATCCATTCCCATATGAATAAATTAAAGTTTACATATGGTTCGAATGACTTTAAAAAGACAGGGACTTCTCTCCTCCTAGTTTGTTTTACGTGGTATTCCATTGTCCAGTTTCTCCTTGCGCTTTCTTTTTCTTCTCTTTTCGGTGTCAGCCTGACAAGAAAGTCCTAAGCATTAATTCGTTCAAAAAGTATCAACTTGCTGGAAATCCTACTTCGTACCTAATACTGGAAACTGATGTTAGAGGTATCCAACTGGCTCGCCCCCGATTTCCTGTTTCTTGAGGAGCTTCACAACCAACTCACCTCCCTACCGATACCCTAAATGCTACCACATACGAAACCCCGAGCACAATAACTGGTCTTCGATTTCTGGTCCGTGACAAATGCAGCGGAAGTCTGGATAAACAGTCGAACCCGAGAGATCACTTCACCCAACGGCAACGCATCCATAATAATGCTATGCAACAGATTTCCCCGGCACTTTATCTTGTATCAATCCATCTAATAGAAGTCAACTAACAGCCAATGTATCTCCTTCACAATGTTGCATAATTTAACGTGAAGTCTATGAAGTTTTACACATGTGTAGTATTCACCACTGTTGAACGACGATGCTTCCAGCCTTTAATTACTTGCACCACAACAAATGTTTTCAGTACCACCAGTCTGAACTGCTGGGAAAGGTAACACTTGAGGAGTGAGAAACGCCTGAACTTAGACATTCACCTGGATTGGATGATTGTTTGGATACTTATTTATTCCTGAAATTGTTGAAGTTATTGCTGGTCAATAGAGCTACGGGCATAAGAATTACTGTTAAAACAGACGTTTATCTGACGAAACACTGGGTCTTGCAGATGGGTCAACCATGTCGACTACCCATAACGCAAACACCGAATATCGCGCCGTTTGATGTGAAATGAGAATTGTGAGTAGGAATGACTTAAACTCAGAATGATGTGTATGTGCTGTAAGGCGATATTTTCCTGCCGTTTTCGTAACATTTAGATACTTGGTATCATGAAAGAGTCTAATGTCCTCCCTCTGTATCATTCAGTACTGCTGAAACGCTTTATGCTTCTCTGCAGTTATCAATTTGATGAGGCCTGCAAACTGGCTTCTCTCACATAAAACTCATCACATAGGAATAATAACGTTTAGTTATTGATTTGTACTTCCTGCCGGAGGTAGAGATATTTGGTAGGTGCCTGCAACTAGCAGGTGGCGTGTCCGAACCTTAGGCTACGAAATTTATCCGCAGAACATTTTCAACAAGTTCTATCCTTCGATTTATTTTTAATCATACAAGTATGTCCTTTGAACGTATCATGTACTCTCACATATTTTTAAACTGTTTCCATCTCCCCGTTTCTCAAATCAGTAACAAAAGAGAGAGAAAATTATCTGGAAATGGACTTTTCGGTGCAGAAGGTCATACTTTTTTCCGTCCGTCAGAGACTGAGCCTCGGTAGCAGATATTTGTACAGTCTGAATGAACTACCACCGCCAAAATTACTCTTGTATTTCTGTTGGTTCTTCGCTGTGGACCAGATGCCCATGCAGAACCAGCTGGCTGTCCCTCACAACCGCCTTGGATACTGCTATTATTAACACCATTCTTGTGTAATAACCGTTTCGTCTGAAACCATCGTTCTCGAAGTGAATTTGTTGAAAAATTGCATGCCCAGAGTTCTATACTGTCACATTTATTGTTCGGAATAAAAGGATTGTTATTATTACCTAATTCCGGATATTCGTCCTAGGCTGTTTCACAAAAGTGAACTGAACGTTCCCTTTCAGCTACGACCAGATTCAGACCTACGTAATGGGTTCAGCCAATCGACAAATTCACGTCGTTATATGTCAGCCATCGTCAACAAACGTCTTCAAATAGGCCGTAACTGTTCAGTAAGTCCATTTCCATGAGGATGGTCGAGGAGACAGTAACAAGAATGAAACCTCGGTGAATATGGTTGCTTCAGCCTTTATTCATATCAGTACAACTTCCAAAGGTCGTAAATGGTCTTCCATCAGCTGAATGCAGATTAAGAAGCTGGTCGTGATGTTCACCTGGTGTTGCTAGCAGAACACTAACTTCATTGCCGCAATGGGTAAAGTATTAAACTTAGTCTTCATATCGACTACTTTCGCCACTAACGTGTACCGATGGACAGCTACTTGACCTCCTGATACCTTAGTTAAAAACTCACGGTTATCGACAGCTTCACTCTTCCTCGTGTCGTGGACTAAATAACATTTGAAATTTCCGATTCTGCAAACCCCAGCTGTCGAACGAGCCAGTGAACTACGGTGATGAAATGAAGAACGCTGTGTTTTGCGTCGTGAACTAAAGCTCATAGTCCATATAAGCCGCTTGACAGTCTCTCAGCCTAAACATTTCTGGATTCTAACGCACGGGCTATGAAGTAGCAGAACATTTTACAGATTGGTCTGTCGGAGATCACCAGTGTTTTATCAACCATATCTGACTCGTGGTTGATAGCAGACAAAGTTTCGCCGACGGTACTTTCACTGGGTGGGGTAATTTCTAAAGAAGACGTTCACGGAAAACGTCACTTTCAGGCTCCCTTAGGGGAGTAGCTTCCCTCATTCCTACGAGCGTGTAAGTTGCTGAATCGCTTCCTAGTTCGATTCTACGAGTTAATTCGTCCGAGCGTTAACGACCTGTAAGATCACTTTTCTTCGGAACGGCTACTTTGAAGTGTACGAGAATCACTTCCTGAAGGGTTACCCGGTTAACTCCTGTGGACTATCATATGAATTAATGATCATGTGAGGTCGAGAAATTGTGGATGAGAATCCGTGACTCCCCATTCTCGGGAATCAGCTTCAGCGTACGAAACTCACTCTGTGTCACCTATCCAAAGTGACACGAGCTGCGCCAGGAGCGTTCTTGGTTCATTATGGATGCGGTAGGTAGTCCAGTGTACATGTATATAGAAGTTAATATTACGAAGAAACCAAGGCAACAAATATGAAAACAAAAAGGTGCGGGTACGAAACAGGACATGCTCTTCAGTTTTGGAAACGTCCGTCAACGAACTTGACAAATGTAGAGGAAGTTGGCCTACTCTTCGTGCTTGTAGAGCACCCACGACTTCAAGACCTAGAAAGAACTCAGTAGTGTAATCAGGCAAGAACAGCGCATGAGCTGCGTCATACCACAATACCTGTGCGTTTTGAAAAACTGGTAAGCCGCCCTTGTTCTTTACGCAAACGCCCACAGTTTCTGTGTTTCCTACATATGTTCTATCAATTTGCATAGTCTGTAAACACCGTCTGTCATTGAAAAGTATTTCGCGTGGTTTATTAATGTGCAAGTATTGGTTAAGCTTCCGCGCCCGACATCCAACATCAATTATGCGAGTGTAGGAAACTTGTAGTTTTCGGGCTATTGCTTCTAGGTCTTGAAGCTTGGTTCTCTTTGGGTGGAATGTAAGTGCATTCATTCATGAGTAGTGATGCCAACAAATCAAAGCGGATTAATTGAGGCTTCAAACTGCGGCAAAAAAGATTTGTGACTACACCTTTCACTTCAGAGTATATGCGCACAAAACACGGGAAATACCGACTTTCACACAGAACGCTATTGCACCTGGGGATGACGTTTGGCGCGCGACGTTTGTATGTTTCGCCGTAGCGTTCACATTTGTGTTGCCGCTATGCGTTATATACTCACGTATGCACCAACTGAATTCTGTGTGACATTACAGCACCGAATTTCATCAGAAAAATTCTAGGTATGCATTCTGTGTATTGTGTGCTCCGACGTAGCACTCAATTTGACCTTCACTCACATGTTACATACTTCGTGAGTCTGGTTTTCAGACAAGTGTGTATGTATTTATATGCTTACTAGTGAGTGTTAGCTGGAATTCGTAAATACTCATCAGCATGCTTTGGTTCTTAATACATATTTTGCCTGATACGCTGTGTCGTTGTGTTCAGTGGGATGGTGAACTAACTGGTAAAGCCAGTTCGTGAATGCCCTTATTATCATGAGTAAAATTACAAGTATTTTTGAAATTACTTTTTCTGCCTTAAAATAAGACTTACAATGGGCAAACGCACTCGACATGCAGATTCGAATCCCTTGTCCATATAAGACCACCAGCGCGCCCATTTGAGTGCTTAAATTTCTGGGCAAATTTATTCCTGATATGGGTTTTGGTTGTTACTGATGCCTCGGAAAAAGCCATTAAAGATCGATAACCCTTCATGTGTGTTCTGCTCTGAAGTTGATCACCATCCCCTATTAGGACCAGTAGTTGAGAAGAATGGGTTACGGATGCATACGAATTGCATAGTAAGTTCAGCTTCGCAAATTTTACTTTATGAGTTTGCTGCCAGTGGGTTGTCTCAAGCGGATGATGCAGATGAATCGTCAGATGACTATATTGTCGGATTCCCTGTTTCTTCGATTGTCAACGAACTCAAGCGTGGTCGCAGCCTAAAATGCTCAGTTTGTCGTCTCCATGGGGCATGTGTCGGTTGTGCTGTTAATACTTGCCATACCACTTTTCATCTTCCGTGCCTGATTAAAGCCCAAGGAGTGACTATATTTGAAGACCATTTCCCATCTTATTGTCGGCGTCATGCTCCTAGACAGGTAGGTATGCATCTTGAGCGGTTTCGGAAACATTGAGGGAAGTACCTCTCGTTTATCGCAGTTTCCCTGGAGACTTTCTTTTGAATTCTTCTTTTGCCAAAATTTACGTAAACTTGCTGGCTTTGGAGTTCGCGCTTACTCCTACCCTTTTTCATGATTTATATGCTTGTTATTAAGACAAGTGAAAGGTTAGACAAGTTTGGAATTAAATTACAGTAAAAAGCCTAAAATTTGGTTTTCAATTTCCACATTGCTTTCCAGCTTCCTAACCTAAAGATTAAGTCGCGCCGTCTTAGTATTTTATGTTTCTCTATAGCGAAACACATCCACCTTGTGCATATCTGTGCTGTAGGCAGTGAGCCACACCTATTGTGTGAGGGCTAGTGATACAACCTGGTTACCCAAACCTTGGTAAATGAAGAGGAGTGTAAACCCGTGGTTCAGTGGTTGATAGTCAACTCCCTAAACCACAGTCCCGTTTCCGTACTTTTCATTGACACGAAAGTTAGTAACAAAAGTTAAAATTAGATGAAAAGGGAATAGGTAAAATAACAGATCCAAGTCTCAGAGGTAGCGTTCTTTCTTCCTCTGTATTCATGCTACCTAAAGTTTCCCTTCACCATGATAACTCCAGACAGCAAAATCACATTTTCTAGCAGTGAAGAAAAATTCAATAGACTTTTCCAAACATCAAGTCATGTTATGGATGCTTTTTCCGATCTCACTTGTTATTCCAACGTTATAAGCAGGACACTTTTTCTGGCTAATATCACTGTTGCTTGAAAGGCTTAAGGCCAGATTGCTCATCCTATACGATGGAAGTATAACATTCGTCCAGTTTTTGGTTGTAAAATGATAACTGACTTCGCAAAAGACTGGATACACTCTTAGACCATATACAAACTCTCGTCGCATGCTGTCTTCCATCTTAATAATGATGCTGAGAATCCTGGGACTGGTCCCCGAATTGATTCCGCTTGTTCATATATCCTAGTTTTCTAGGCAGTTGAATTTCTAGTTACTTTTTCATGAGTTACTAGCCATTCGTTCGGGGTCTTATAAAAAGGCGAACTTTCAGGTTTTACGCAACTAAAGTAACTGATTTAAATAAGTTGAATCTGAAGTCACCATGGTCAGTTGTTATTTTATTTTAGAATTTGGATGATTGGCTGGCGCAATGTAAAGAACCCCCTTCTTGTTGCATCTGCTTATTTTCAATCATTCCGGATAAAGATTTCGAAGTCAACTGCTTGCCTAAGAAAAAACAAAAGAATATTTCTACTCTTGCTACCCCTGCAAAGGAAAGTGTCCCAATTACAAGGGAAGTAAGACGTACAAGGCAATCTTGCTTAACTCCCTCCACACCAAAGCGCATCATGGTATCCAATGGAATGTCCTCTGTTAAAAAGAGATTCTCCCAATCTGAGCAAGTTGTTACATAATTTATCAATATTTTCTGCTTACTTTACCATTACAAAACTTGATAAATCAAAGGAGTTATGGAATTTATTCCCTTATATCCGTCACTATTATCAAACCCTTAGTATGCATAAAGTATCCGATGCACTGTGTAAGAATTACATTTTTTAGATTGGTCTGGTTCTGAAAAAAATTAAACAAACACCAAACAAATATTTCAACGGAAAATGCATGGTTGCTGAGACAAAACTACGTTTCTTACTGTTTGTTATTAAAATTACTTCTCTGGTACCTCTTGAGTCTAACATATTTCTGTTCCTTCACATACAAGTACATTTTGATTTTCTAGAGTAATTGCTTCAAAAACATCAGTATATCCAGTTTTCATTAAAATTTCCATAAACAGAGAAGTGAACTATGATCCACCAGAGCACTCGCATAAGTGCTACTGAGTATAAAGACTGGTTCGCATCTCTGTGTATTTTGCCATAGTTGCCGAAGTGTAAATTACTACCCTGAATATATATCGCCTAGACCCAGTGCGTTATGAGTACTAAACGTTAGCTGAACTAGGTTCAGGTCGGAAAAAGGTACGGGGTGGCCAGACTAAAGCATAACATCACTGCATGGAGTCCGTAACTGTTGGTCTGAGCCATGTAGGGAGATGTAGACCAATTTGTTGCAGTTCACTTGAGGGCAGAAACCAGTGGTTTGAAACTTTAGGTGATATGGCTGAGAATCGCTGTCAGTAGTGCAGATGTATTCACACCTTGTCTTCATTTTAACCGCTATATTGAATTCAGCGTTTTCTCATCACTCCACTTCTACTGCTTCTGACCGGTTTTTCTCGTTTTCCATGTTATTACTTCGTAACTTCTGCTAATATATGATGTGCCAAGTTGGACTGTTGTGCAGTAATTCCTGGACCTATTTTAATGAGGGTGACATTATTTTGCAATGTTCAGTAGTATGACATCCGTTTTCGTTTGGTCTGTACCGGTCTGTGACTATTGGGACGTTAGGAGATGATTTGATTTCTGCAGTGAAACGTAAATTCTGTCCCTAGAGTTTCAGTGCTGATGCGCCTGGTAGATAAGTAATAAGAGTTAGGTCATTAACTGGATTGATGGCGAAACCTACTTTCGTGTCACGAAACGTGCTTCTTTGGTATACACTAGTGTCTTTAACGTTAAAATAACTTGCTCACTGACAGCAGTTTAACTTGTTAATAATGGTTGAGCATTATAAATATAGTACGGATAAGAGAAACATAAACTAGTCTGTTTTCACTGCTTTCTGAAAGAACTCGTATTCTTAATTGGACACACCATAGATAGGTGCTTTTTCACCTAGAAAGAAAAGTAGTTTTGTCAGGTGTCAAGCTACCTCGCAAACCCGTAGTTGTTAAGTCTTTTTTGTGTGCTGTATTTCTGTTTAATTTTTAGCGCGAACTACATTACAAGATTTTTAAAGTCATTTTACTCATTAGTCTGTCAAATCGGTTACCCTGTGTAGAAACTAGGGTTTTAGTGAGTCTGCCCGTTGACCAAGCTTTTCTAGTAAATTCTTTGTTTTCTATGATATTATTCAGCTGTTAATTTGTAGTATACAACCAAGTTTTTATCCGCAAGTACCTTTTTCTTTCAGCACATACACTTGGGAGTTACCTGGTTCTTCTTCAGAACCTGAAGAACAAAATCCCATTCAACGACCATCCGGACAACAACACTCGAAACGCATTGCATTACCACCACCAATGTCGCACATTCCCGATTGGCTGGCTGACTACTTTCAGGATCTTGCTTCTGAAAAGAGACTAACTGTCTATGAAGCCTGGAAACACCACACTATTCATGGATTATGTTGTCCCTTGGCATGGATGCATAGAAATTGTATCGCGGGTTTTGCTGTTTCTGCTGCATTACATTACTTGAAATGTCCTTATTGTGCAAATAGAGAAATATTCATCAGAAGTATCATCGATTCTGGTATATGGGTTCCAGACCAGTAAGTGAATAGTACTGTTTCATTTTTATGTCTAGAGGTGTCCCATCGATATCTATCTTAAAAACTATGTAAATCCTAAGAAACTTAGTAAACTCGCATTATGCAGAGGTAAATAATAGCTGCCAAATTGACCTTAAAAAAGAATTTGAACGAACAAAACGCACTCGCCTACCTTGTGCACTTCCATGCAGTAGGTATTGAGCCACACCTATTGTGTGAGAGGGCTAGTCGTACTACCTGGCTGCTCAAACCTCGGTAGGTGGGGCGGGGCTCGAATCTACTACTCAGTGGTTGATGGTCATCTCCCTAAACCACTGTGCAACAGCTTCACACAAATTAATTCGGATTGGCTTATATTAGTGAATACTCAGACCTCAGTTGTCACTCACCTTGACTTAAGCACTTGACTTCGAAGTAACGGGTCTTTGATTCGAACCCCACATATTTCGACACACATACGCCCTTACACAATTATCTTATAGCCTACTACATAAGTGTATTGGGTTGAGTTGGGTTGTGCGTTGATTTAACCACTCACCTAACTTTAATTCCGTGTGATACTTGATGTCTATTTCTGCGACTGAACTTCGACCGCTGACTTATTATACGATAGAAAATTCTGCCAGGAGTTTATACTGTTGCTTATGAACATGAACCGTCCATTATTAGAAGATAGACGATAAAAGTGGTTACATTTTATGCTTTATTCAGAAGTTTGTCAACTTTAGGTTAGTTCAAGATTTATAGATTTATCTGCTGCTCAAAATTGTCAAAGTGCTTATTCGCATCATAAATGGTGCATTTTTACCGATATGTAATGATATTAATATCTAGTTAGTGTGTTGAAAAGGATACTACCTAAGATTCGTACGATATACATTGTATCTTGAGAACTAATTTTCTAAACTGCCTTTATAAATAGCCTTTTCGTTTACGGATTTAATATCTCACATCCAACTTCTTAATTCTTGACAAACGGGCATGAATAACTTCAGAACTAAGTAGGTTGCACATTAATTCAGATTCTCACACTGCATCAGCGGCAAATCTAGTGAAAATCAACAAAAAAGAGGATAGGAAATAAAGATGTATGACAAGAAGTGATGAACAAAGATGTCATTATAAGCTTTATATGAAGTGGTGTGAGTAAAGCTATCGCTGCGATGAAATTTAAGCTGTATGCCCTAATGACATCAACCGTCGACTTGGTTTTGATCAAGAACTCCGATGAAACGAACTTTACTCGTATACAGCGATCAAATGTCAACCCTCACTACAGTGTTCCATATTAGATTTGTTTATTTGACATAACACACAGTGATACAGTATTATCTACCAGGTGGAGTTTCGAGCATAAATAATTGTTCATAACCGTATCAAAGCAGTCACCTCATATTCTTTGTTTCTAGTGGTACTGAATTTCTTATATTCCCGGTATAGGTGTTGCGTCATCCCCATTACATGTGTTAGGTGTCGACTTGATGAACAGTGATTTCTTAATGTATGTATGTTAATGTATACATTCCAGTAGTCGAGTTCCCTTTTCTAGATTATTCTTCTTACTGAGGTCTATCACTCTACATTTGGCTAAATCCTTATGTTCTGAAAGTCAAATCGACCCCTGTCGGCTAGTTTGACCTTTGTACTTGACGTCATAGTCATTGCACGGAATTCGGTTGATCAAATTATTTTCTTTAGTTGGCTTGATTGGATCCTTTAGCCGACAAAGCTTATCTCTGATTGGGTTTGTGGATTTGAATGCCACCCTAATTAAAACCTTTCCGATAATTCTGCGTAGAGTTTCTAATGTTTCTCCCTTATTTTAGTAACACATTAGAGACTTTTAACTTCTTTCTGTGTTGTCATTATTCATGTTACGGTTACCACTTTGTTTCTTATGTGTATTTGCGAATTTCTTGGTAAACTCTAGAGGATAACTATTAATTAGTAGTGTATTTTTTTGTTTTAGTTTCCTAATTTAGTCATTGGAATACACGCGTTAACACACAACCAGACATTAGGGTGGGATAAAACCACTGTCCAATACATTTAAATAGAGAGAAAGATTGGTTCTCAAATCTCTGTTTATCAAATCGACACTTAACACATGTAATTAGAATGACGCAACACCTATACCGTAGATGTGAAAAACTCACTGCCACTAAAAACAAAGAATATGGAGTGATTACTTTGATAGGATTAGGAGAAGTAATTTATGCTCGAGACTTCAAGTAAATAATACTGTATCTTTGTGTGCCATATCAAATAAGCAAATCCGATACGAAATTACGTTCAACTACAGTGCCCGATTTTTACGCTTTTATTCAGTGTAATTTGACTGGCTAAATCTCTCCTCTGTGATTACTTATCTGTGGATACATTCGACCAGTCACTAGAAAATACTATTTGGTTTTCAGTATGCATCTATAGTAGTTTATACTCCCCTACTACTTTGTCGTAAATTTGACCTATAACATCGTGTTACACTTACGACAGTACAATTTTACTCACTAATCATTTTATAAATCTGGCTTCCGTGATATATTTCTATTTTTGATTCAACAAAGAATAAACGACTCGTTGGCTGAAGATCTAAGATATATTACTTCCATCATTTTTATATGCTTTTGATAAGTATTAAAAATGAGTAATGTTCACAGTGACAATAAACTGTAAGCTTCAAATAAAGATAGTGATGCAACATAAACAAACCGTTCGGCAATGCTCCAAAGTCAGTAAACTTCTAGAATCGACTCATCATATAGGATATAAATCGTTGTTGGTAAATTTGTTTCGCTTAAGCTCGTTAAGCAATTTCTGTATACTACCTGCTGAAGAGTGGTGTAGTCGACTTGATCTAAGCCATGTGAGGAAATACGTCATCTCCTAGGAAGTTAAATATCAATGGTTGGTAATGTAGTTTAAAACCGATCTTAATGTTATTCCATCATTGTGCTGAAAACGTCATCTAGAAAATGATGTCTCACCACTGTGCTGTAACAAGTAAACTAATCGACAATAAAAAAGGTAAAAGCAGCTTGATTGTAAGCTGATAATGAGTCTATGCAATAACCATGAATACCAAAGGCTAAATGAATGGAGGTGTTTAGAATAGGTCTAAAGTATTAAGCAAGGTGTCGGCAAGCTGATTGTGATAAGGTTATGAACTTGCACTAATTGGGATAACTTTGACACTTGTTTGGCTTACCGAACTGCGGCTTACCTCGATATTCTATGTTTGCTAAAGTAGGATAAAGTTGTATTATGTGTGTAAATGTTTGATCCTGGCTCGTGTTTTCGCTGTGATAGGAAATATTGGTTCAAGTATGTATTTTCTATCATGGAAATTTTGAACATTTCCACCAGCCTGCATTTATTACTCATCCTCCTCTCTTACACTGTTGTCTCATTAGCCTAGGCACTTGAGGCTCAAACAATGAGTCTCAGGTTCGAATTTAGATCCATTAACTTTGACCTAATTAACTGGGTAGTATAAGTAACTTTCGCAAAGTGTGGTTGACATTCTTGTAATTGAAAGTGTACCGAGTTGAGTTGCATTGTCTTTATTTCTTCAATATCATTCTTTTTCTAGTCGCAATTCCTTGGATGCTGTTGTAAAGTGTGGTGACCCAGACTGATGAACTTCTGCAAAAGGTTCTCTTTTGATTTATCTATCTGTCTGCATAAAACTATCAGTTAAATTTGCCATACTTTTGATTGCATACGAAACCACTGTTTATCTTAGCTTGTAATATTAAACTGAAAAAAGATTGTCTAAGGCAAGACGTGATATCGGCCAATGGGTACTTCGACCCGATTTAATCTGTGCTATCTCACCGGGTTAATTAAACAATGGCTACAAATCGGTTGCAGTCGGGTAAATGCAGTAACTGATTATTTCTCTGCAAGCAATGGTTATTGTATGCTGCTTCATCCATGCGTTTGCATCTGAATTTACACTTTTTCGAATTGCGAACTATTATGCTTATTTAATACTTAATATGTATTGAACAATGTATGATAGTGAATATATATATATATATATATATATATATATATATATATATATATATATATATATATATATATATAATATTTAATTGTTAGTCGTTATCGCAATATTGTCACTTCTTTTCATATTGGTAAACGAATATTGTATATTACACTAGGTGTTTGTTTCAAACTATTATCTCTTAGATATAGTTTATATTTGTATAAGTCATGGTGTATTTGAACAGATAAGTACAGTTGCCTGCCTCTTGAGAATTGATTAATAAGCAGAAAGTGTGACTGCAGTAATTACTTTCAACACCAGTCTCAACCTCATTATCTCTACACCAACAATAGCACATAATCTGGATGGATTTGATATATTATGATTATCGCCATCATTACTACTATTCATTTCCACTCTATCCCAACGAATCAATAAAAAAGTCGTTAATACTATTCTTCCCTGTATATCAACTGAAATGGCGAACATATCCCCCTCATTTGCTTTATTTTACTCATAAAAATACAGAACGACTATGATATCACGTGTAGCCGTTTTGTCTCATTTACAATCAAGGAGAATATTAACAACAAATCACACCCCATACAATAAGAGGTATTATACTCTTTCACACTGAATGATTAGTTATATTTTGGAAAACAATGACTTTACGAAGAGGATTGGACAAGGAGATTAAGTACACGTCTTTAATATTTTGATTATTTCCCTGAAGAAGCTCGGACCAGACTCCCGTGCGCAACGTTGGAATTATTTTATCTCAAACACGCAATGATATTCAAAGATAAACTATATCTAATTCCAACCTTTTACCCGGCTCCCAATATTTGCGATAATATTCACTCAAATCTTAATCACAGTTCATATAAAATATTTCTTGCTTATAGGGATGCAGCATGGGAACTGGAGCCAGGAGCCTATGCAGATCTTGTTCCAACTAGTGAATGTTCCTCCAATTATGATCAAGACTCTCACAGCAGTAGTACATCTACTACTACAACGCACTGTGAATGTAATGGGTGGATTCAAAAGGTTGTAGAAGATCAAGAGACGGAGGACTCTCAGGTCATAGATATACGTAATGGATATGAATCGTCAAACGGGTCAGCATCCACAGATCAGGAGCACATTTCAGTTCTTTCACTAATATGGAATAATCAGAATTTCAGGAAACGTCGTCGACAAAAATCTCCAATTAGACGTCAGACGCAGATACACCAAACCTTCCCAAATACACCAAGACCAGCTCGTATTTCCCGTAGGCAAACGTGCATAACTGCACGAAGTGCCCAAAACGATCACTCCCTAATAATAATATGAATGAAAGTAGATTACGTCAAGTAACTTTAGGATCTTTCCTCTCTGTCAGGACCCAAACTTCCCGGTGAACCATTTACGCATCAACAATTTTTATCGGAATTTATTTCTACTTTCTAACTCTCCGACACTTTAAAGGTAAAGATTGCATTTGTATATAATGATGTTATTATTCACTTTATTCGTTTTAACTTTTCGAAAAAGCATCCGGTTGGTCTTTGCGAGTTGCATTTATTTTTGATATATCTTCAAACGAAAAAGTTTTGGTCGCATTGTCTTTTAAGACTTCATGAGAAATATATATATCCAAATAAATGGCGTAAAGTCGTCTATTTAGGCAACTTTAATCTCAATACAGGTGTTATTCCATGTGGTACCCTTTGTACCGAGTGCCCACTCAATTATATATTCGATTACATTATTCGGAGTGTGGATGTTTTCGTTCGTCAGATACTGTGATATTAAGTTGAACTACTATGAGTCAAATGATATCGTACTTTTGCAAACTCAATAGATATTAGGCATTGAGAACCTAATAACTATGGTTAGCTTCACTAGTTCTCGGAAATAGACCACATATTCAGTGATTATGAATCCCTGTTCTCATTCCTAACTCCACCATTTGGTATGCCTCCACATAACTAGGTATGGTGCAGGCAGGCAGCAGTGTAAAAATGAGGCAACACAAGCAGCCAACAAACAGTACGAAAGCATCCAAATATTTCCTTATTCTTTTTGTCTACGAATTCAAACATTGTCTTCTTTTCGTAGATACCAGTAATACAGGGGTTCCTTTTTCATTTGGATCAGGGTGAGATTGGTTGAAAGCATCCGCCGCAAGTTTTGATATTTACAATTTCCTTAAAGTTCGTTGATCCAGTCGACCTTGAATGTTGAGTAATTTTCGTCCCCAAGTTTTTAGAAACTAGAGATTACTTAACTGTGGTCTAAAACGTCACCAGATATGGTTAAAAATTGAGAGCGCTAGTGATTATGCTGTATTTCCAATTTCGAAACGGTAATGAAAGCTTTATGGATGTATCTCGTATTTCTCCTCCCATGTTTGTTCTTGTGGTTTACTTCTTTACCATCCTTTATATCTCCGTAGTGTTACATAATTTTGTTTCTTATTCGTGCTGTTCTCGCACATCACTAAGTTGCTTTGTGACAGTTCAACATAACTACTGTTATCGGTCTGTAGGCTTGATGTTTAGATCTTGTAATGGGTCATTTTAAGCTAGCGTATCAATCCATCAACACAAAGTGGTTTTAAATTAGTTCTCATGTATCAACTTTGAAACCAAGTGTTATTCGAACTAAGAGTAAACGAGTAAGTTGATACTTTCGTCGTTTTCTGTCGAACAGTTGTGCATCTGTCTGAAAGATCAGGATAACCAGTTACGCTTTAACCGGTCTAAGTTCTGTGATACTTTTTGGTTCGAATTCACTACGGGAACAATACGGTTGAACTACTGGTTACGATCGTGAACAGTGGTGGGCAGCGAAGGCTAAAGAGATGGAAAAGGCAGCGGCGATCGGTAACAGTAGACAGTTATTTAGACTTATTAAGGAGACTGGGGGGAAATGGTCAACAACAGTTAGTGAGGTTATAGCGGAGAAGGACGGATCGGCGATTCACTCGCAGGGAAGGCGACTGGGACGATGGGCAGAACACTTTGAGGAACAGTTTAACTGGCCTCCAGCCACCATTGCGCTGCCCGCTATCCAGTCGGACCCTGAATGGGACATAGAGACAGGTCCCCCAACACTAGAAGAAGTTGAGAAAGCGGTAGGTAGCCTGAAACGGGAAGGGCAGCAGGACCAGACGGACTACCTGCTGAGGTATACAAGAATGGTGGTAGAGTTCTCTTAGTCAGGCTAACGGAAGTGTTAGCCAGTATATGGGAATCAAATACGATCCCCTCCGACTGGTCTAAGTCACTGATCATCCCAGTCTTCAAGAAAGGCGAGAAGTCCTCTTGTGATAACCACAGAGGAATCAGCCTGACAAACATAGTGTCTAAGATCCTAAGTTCTATAATTCTCCGACGCCTGAGTGGAGCTCGGGAACAGCAAGCCCGAGAAAACCAGGCAGGCTTTAGACCTGGCCGTGGATGTATCGACCAAATATTCACACTGCGCCAGGTCCTGGAACATAGGCATGCTTACAGACGCCCGACAATAGCTGTATTTCTCGACCTGAAGGCGGCATTTGACTCCGTTGATCGAGAAGTCTTATGGCAGTGTCTGTCACTGAAAGGCGTGCCTAGTAAGTACATCACCTTATTGAAAGCTCTCTACTCGAACACTTGTGGGCATGTTAGAGCCTATGGTGAGTTGTCCAGGGAGCTATACTCATCAAGTGGTGTCCGTCAAGGATGCCCACTATCCCCATTCTTATTTAATTTTATCATAGATATTCTTATGGAGGTTTCCCTCTCGTCACCTAATTACAAAGACGTTGACCGAATCACAGGTGAATTTTCCTTAGATCTAGAATATGCAGATGACATAGTCCTGTTAGGTGAAGATGCAGAGTCTTCTGAACACTTTGAGTGGGAATTTGAGAATGTTTGGGATGCGATTTTCACCACCCAAATGCAAATTTTTGCTCCAGGACTGGTCTTCAGCGGTACCGCGGTTAACAATAGAGAGTGAAGTGGTTGAGTGTGTTGACCACTTCACTTACCTGGGAAGTAGGATCAACCCGGTGGGTTAGTTGCCGATGAGATTTCTGCACGGATACAAAAGGCTCGATTGGCTTTTGCCAATTTGCGCCACCTATGGCGCCGCCGTGATATTCGTTTGTCTATTAAGGGTCGCGTGTACTGCACAGCAGTCCGCTCTGTTCTACTGTATGGCTGTGAAACATGGCCATTGAAAGTGGAAGACATGAGAAGGTTACAGGTGTTTGACCACCGTTGCCTTCGTAGTATAGGACGTATTCCGTGGTGTCACCATGTGAGTAATGCAGAAGTTAGGTGTAGAGTTTTGGGGAGAAGAGGTAAGTCAGTCGACGAGGTTGTGAACCTTCATCGACTGAGATGGTTGGGACACGTACTACGTATGCCTAGTCACCGATTGCCTCGTCACACAATGTTGGCTGAGGTGGGTCCAGGCTGGAAAAAGGCCCGAGGTGGCCAGACTAAAACATGGCACCAATGTATGAAGTCTCTGACTGTTGGTTTAAGCCATGTAGGACGATGCAGACTAGGTGGTTGGGGTCCACGGGACAAGAGGAACCAGTGGTTGGAGACCCTAGGTGATGGCATGGCTCAGAACCGAAGTCAGTGGCGCAGATGTATACACACATTATCCTCATCTTAACAACGCTATACCGAATCTCACTATTTTGTCACTCCTCTTTCCTTTCTTCTCGTACTTTATATTTCTTTTGACTGCATTCACTTATCTTCATCCTTCACCTCACTACCTTTTTACTTGATGTGCTGATATGAGGTGTGGCAACTCGGACCGTTACGCAGTAATGCCTGGTCCTATGTTGATAATGATTTATCTAATATCTCTTATCTGGAATCATTTTAAACATGCGACTAGAAGTTATTGACGCGTTTATTAGCAAAAGGTTGACCAATTATGCTATAAACTTGCTCTTTCTGTCCAGCATTGTGGTCGGTCTACCAACCTGATATTCAGTTAACGCTTACTACCGTTTATTCTAGTTTTTCCGTAGACCATACGGGTTTCCAATATTGTGATGGCATGTACAATGCACTTGTTCGTGTCTTCAAATCTTTCTAACACTAGTTCTGAGTTGAGTGGGTTAGACGAATCGTTTTGCATTTGTGCTTTATTGCTAATATATTGCTTAACGCGGACAGACATTTCTAGACTACCTGTCATAAAATGTGTGCTATCTCGATGATAGAAACTTATGGGGATCGTCTTTGTTTAGATAAGATGTCTATTTTCAAGTTAAGCTTAACTGTAAAATGGTTGAACTGTGATTCATTCCCAATTACTCAGATGCTATCCTTAAGTATACAAATTGTGCACTAGACTATAAACCTTATGTCAAGATTAGTGTTGCTATAATCTAACTGTTGAACCATCGGTTGGAAGCTTAAAGCTCAAGCCGTGAGCCCAACGTCCATGTTCAATACGAAATGATACCCTTACATAACCAAGTACTTTTTTTCGGAAGCGCTTCGCAGACTAATGCAAATCGTTCTTATGGACAGATCTTGTTTGTATGTGTATTCATATAAGCCGAAACTTATTGTCTTCATTTCATTGACTAGAGAACTTGTTCTTGTGGATTTTTATCGATATTTCGCATAGAATCAACAACACTTGTTTCTTTGTTATGAATAATCGTGATGTGTCAAGCGAGTGAGTTTTTCGGAGGTGATCTGAGGAACTCATTTACACTAAGATGTTTGTTAACTTTCAGTTACCCTTTGCACATCAGTCCGTAATGTGATTTAGGCTTAATCACTACGTTTCTACATGGATATTCTCATTGATAAATGATTGATAATGCATGACCTCAGACTACATGTTAATGGATTCAGGTCTTCGAATAATTCTAATCAATACATCCGAAACTTTAAAAGTCCTTGCGAGTCCATACAGGTCTTTTTTCTTCCTGTTAGATGGCGTTTCTCTCTTTCTGCAATCTTTCTTAATATTACTTAGTGGTTACTGCGAATGGTTCATCTAAAATCCTACTTCCAGCAATGTCGACTCTGGATATGATATCGAAATTTCTGCTATGAGGTATTCTTTAGGACGAAATATATTCGGAAAAATTTTACAGTTTGGATTTCATGGATCGAGACCGTCTTTTCTGTATCTTTCTCATCCTCATTTGGCTTTTGCGTTCTCTTTTACTAAGCCATACTGGATACGTCCCATGTTCATCACTCATCACTTTGGGTAGCTTCTTTTGAACAACTAAGGAGGAAGTAGGAATATATGGAAAGCTTACTATCCATGTGATCCGAAATAACCGGTTGTGCTGGAGTAGTTGTATTATCATTATCTTTATTTTTCCTAGTTAATTCCATCAATTGATCCTTCACTTTTTTAAAGCTTTTTTTACGTTTGATTGCACGAAACCGACGCTTCAGTTTACTTCTAACACTTTTGGCCATTAAAGTAGAATATTCCACTTAATCTGTACGTCGCGATAGGAAGTTGAGTGCTGAAGTTGATGGAAATATTTGTTTTGATAAGGATATCTAGAGAATAAAAGAAATTCAGAGTATAGTAATGAAAATGAAATACGAATAAAGTTAACAATGCTTGATAGAATACCGCGCTACAATGATAATTTTCATGCAACCCAGAGAGATATGAAGCTTTATGATCAAGAGTACTATTCCGAAATGAACGGGAATGAGAAAATATAGAGAACTGTGAGAATTTGTTAACGTATATCCATTGCACTGATATACTTGCTTGTTGTTGGTGTAACTCGAATTTAGATAATATAGTTGTCATTAGTCTCAATGAAACCATTGGCAACACTTCAAGCTGTTCGACTAGCCTACTTTACATGCGACTTCAGAATTTCAAATGACTAATGGTTTCTTGTTGATCGACATGAGCAAGGGTCTGAAATGAACTTCCAGTGATAAGATGTGCTGGTGGTGGTGAGCGTCAAGTAGTGGACACACGTAACTGGGTATTAGTAAACAGTCCTTAAATACAATAGGATGACGCTGTTATCGCTGGCAGCCTACGCAGTACGAAAAACATTTTGAGTATGTTCGTTACCAGTAGTTAGTAGTGCTTTAGAATGCGACTTCGACCAACACGTACCAGCTAAACGTCAGTTGCGTGCTGTGACCCTGTAGGAATTACGCGTAAAGTGATTGTCTTTGAAAAAATACTTAAGGGCTTGCAACTGAGTCATTTGAAAAATAGCTCACTAGCGGAGTGTTTATTATTTTTAGTTATGCAGTAGACTCATTTCGAATGGTTGAGAAAGCCGGCTGGTTTCCGAACAGACATCCGTATGCGAGAGCAGTTTGAAAACTACTTGCGTGTTAGGAGGCAGAGTGCGAGTGAATGTATATATATACCAAGAATGCTGAGGTCATAATGTTTTGTTGGTAAATGGTTATAGTTTGGAGGGTAATTCCTGATGATAAACAGGTCGAATGATCAACACGCTGGTTAGGAAATCGTTCCCAGCAAGAGTGCAACAATACAAATTGGCCAATAGCTTGGAAACCAGTATCCAGTGTGTGGGTCAATATTGTGTCTAGTCAGAGAATGAAGAGCTTTGGATGTTACTGTGAGCCACAACTTCGAGGCAACACATTATTGTAATGCGGTTGCAGGCAAAGGACTCTGGATCCCGCGATCAGTTAACGGGTAACTTATCTAGGATCCTATAGCCTACCTGATTTACGTATTGGCTTAGGCAATTGATTTTCAACTAGTGTATCACGGGTTTGAACACTGCTCCACCTGCCGAGATGCGGGCACCCAAGTAGTGTCATTAGTCCTCACACAATGTTTGTGGCTTATAGCCCACTGCAAGTGGTTGCTGAGTGCATTTCCATTTCTTTGTGAGTTCGACCTGGGCAATACTTCATTTCGAATAATCCGTAGTGATAGATAGTCCTAGACTTGAGAGAGCAAACACTCTGAAATGCGTACGAAAGGTAGGTATTCAGTTAGTGAAAGAACTTCCCCACTTATGAGATAGGCAGCTTGAACCTTTATCGATAATCGTATCGAAGGAAAAGAGGTGGTCTTATCTTGACGTCTCGGTGTACAGTACCCACACAATTTCAGTTCGAATAACTATACGGATGTTGATCTCACTGATTCTTCTGCTCTTTTTGAAGCTCATTACCTCAGAAGCCATTACAAAGTCTCGAGTGATAAGGATAGTAGGCTACTAACCTACGTTAATCTTTGCAATAATTTCTGTGAAGACCCAAGTTTTCCTGCGGTGTAAATACCGGAGCTGCTACCACCTGTTCCGGTAACAAATTTCAGTTATGGATCACAAGCCGCGGTCGAGTGAATTTCGAGTGCAGACCAGATCCTCTCAACAATTACTGTAGTGTTATGGTCTATACACAGCTTTCAAAAGTTCTGATCAAGTTACCCTACTCCATATAAGTTAGACCTTACTTGGGATACTGCACTTGGACAGCCAGGCTAAGTCTACAAAGGGGTACCGACGTATTTGAGCGTGTTAAAAGGACAGGCATTAAGCTTGTGGCCGGCTTTATTACGAAATACGATTAATTATACCGGGAAAAAATTCAGCCAATCTAACCGTGTCAACATTTTCGTCGGGCTATAGTAAACCTGACGGACCAAATGCAGTGCACATCGGTCCATGAATCTGGTGAGACTAGAGGTACTGCATGTGGGCCGCCATGTTAGTCGGGTCTAACGTCAGACCAACAGATTCAGATGTAGGACCAAACGTCCGGTCAGAGGATAGTTTCGCACAGGCATTTATACTACTCACATTTTGTTAGTAGGCTTATGTACATATGTGCACTCATAAATTAAACAGATATACCCACTAAATCATCGAAAGATAGTTCTGCGAAGAAAATCCTTCCCAACAAATTCATTTTTAGAAGCTGTAAAACCGTGACGTATTGCGATTTTCAATCATTCATTGTGTTTTTTTTTGAGTTCTATTTGTATTTGCATATTAAAGTGATATACTATAGTGTATACAGTAAAGTATACTGTATCACGGTATGCTGTCATAGAATAACTTAGTATGGAACTACATTGTAGGGCCCCAATTCCATACTTACGATAGTGAGTTGTTTGAAACAGATACCTGCTTTTGTAAGCAAGGTAAAATTCTTCAAAATATACAGAAATCAAACGGAATCTGTAGAAAGTATTTGTGTAATAAGTTATTCGTTAGTTCAGGGGAGCATGATAGCAGTAAGTAACAACACTGTAATAAAACAGGTGTGTAATAATCTCGTGTGATATGAGCGACAGTCAGGAAATATAAATAGAATGTTAAAAATTTTCATTGTCATAGAAGACATATGAGCAAACAATACTGTTTGCAATTGGCTTTCATCAGGCTTTACGCTAATATACATACGCTTTCCCGTACACAAAACGCTTAACAAACCCCTATATTTTCCTACTTGCTCCTACATACTTGGCAAGTTTTCTACGCCACGGACAAAATCGTATTGATTTTTAAACACAACGATTTGCAATTGCAATACATGTGCAACTACAGCTTTTGAAAATAAATTCGTTGAAAAGGACTTCCGTCACTGAAATACTTGTCCGGCTTGCGTGTTAATATTACTATTATGAAACAGGCATCTATCTCATAACAAATGTTTATTTTCTATCACAAAAAAACCTCTTCTCTATCAGAAAATGGAATCTCCCTATACATCGGGGGTTCTCGCGTACATGGAATTGAAGTCTTGGGTGATGCTGTAGTACATGAGAATACGTTTTGTTGTAAATACGATGAGGAGATCATTGGTGCAACTAATTTTTTGAACTATCAATGACTCAATGTAGCACATAATTTTCCAAACTTTATTGCTAATTGCTGCAAACATCTAATAAGTCAGGTAATGTAGTCAAGTTCTCCCAGTCCCAGTTGGAGCCGGAAACTGAGTAAATGAACTTACTCAATTTACCTTGAGCATCCTAAGGCATAAGACACTTCGGTAAACAAGCGTCAACCGCACAGAAGTACTGTCTATCGCAGATTTAGGAGTCTGTACGAGATGGTTAAGAGTTGCCTGAAGTCCGTGCTCATGGAAACATCGGTTTCAGTTCTGGATGCTTTTCATTCTAGTAAAAAACCTAAGGGACAGGAAGTTTCTTCAAATTCACTTCCAGAAGCAAGCATGCAAGGTAACTTAGTTGTATTCCGTTCTATTTCACCATTCTCTTATAGCTTGGGATAACTTTGGAATCTATAGATTTATCACCGCATAGTTGCATATGTTGACTGTATTGTCTTCGACCAGAAATTGCGTACAAGGCGGAGAAAGTTTGTGACGGCACTAAGCGATTTCGCACCATCCATGAAATAGTCATCTTGCACGCGCCCAACAATGTCATGCTGGAGAAAGGACAGCCTGATTTAATCACTGAACTATTTCAAGACATTCACATCACACTCAAACCATACAAGGGTCCGAAGCCACTTTACACCGATCTGTTTGACTCATCAACAATAGGTGTATTCGATGTCCACCAGATTCCATTTCACAAACATTCAACAGCAACTGAAGATGCGGACTTCAAACTCGTCTATCTGCTTAGGGTGCACTTTGGCATTATACATATGCCACATATATACAAACTGGGACTTGTAAACAATAAACCAAAGTATCTAGTGGTGAAACATTGACATCATACTGTAAGCCATCAATACATATTTCACGAGGTTTCATTCTTTTCCTTACGATAGGGAATGCAGTGAGTAAGCGAATGTGCCTGATTCCTTTTATTATTAATTCCAGATAGAATCCAATAAGTTTATGGTTGTTTTTATTATGAAATCCAAGCACTTCGCCATAACCACTTTCAATTGGTTTGCGAAACCGAATAAAATATGTTTCAAATATGTAATACCAGAGGACACAATGTCACGTTGAAGGGATGGGAACTAACGAAAGTTTAAGTACCCAGTGTCTTGGGTACGCAATCAAATAATAAACTACCATGTCAGATACACGTGAAGGTGCTGAAAAAGCTGTGCGTTCACGTCAGAAGGCTATGGAATTGACTTCTGCATCGACATCGTTTTCATTTGTCAGCACGGTTCCTATGCCAAAGTCAACCAGAAAAAGGTTTACTAAATTTATTCGTCATTCTTATGAATTATCAGCAGCAGTGACTACTCTGACAAGGACTGTATTGGAGAGAAATACTCTCATCTACCATTGAAAGTTCAGTTTAAGTCCTTCCAATCGGATTATAGTAGTTGCAACTTATAAAGGTAAGCTACCACCAAACACTAATAATTATGATTGACAGATACACATCCAACATAATGAGCAGTACGCTATTATCGTAAGTCATGACCTCTTACTTTATGCATGTATCGTTTAGGTCATCAATTCAGCCCACATCCGGTAGCAAAGTAGCCACAAACAGCCACTTGAGAGTAATATCTTGCGCAACTTTACATTTCTATTCAAATCAAGCCATGAAGGCGTTAACATGTCCGCGCCACTGATGAGGGCACGTAGTATCTCGA